CTTCAAGCGCCCCAAAGAGTCGGGTTGTTTCCCCCTCTTCTCCTTCGGGGGGCACAGGTCACACGAGGAAAAGGTCCTAAATCGACACGGGCCCGCCCCCTTAGGGCGGGGGGTGTCCGCAGGACGTTCTTTAACGGAGGGATTGATCCGAGGGTTTCCGCTGCGTCCAGGTTCCCGTGTCGTTCTCACGAGTGCTGGAGGAATCGAGCGCTGCTTACAACATTGTTGGTATGTATTATTACAGTGTGCCCAACAGGAACCCCCCCCCCCCCTATCCCCGCCGCACCCCGATTTAACACAAGGCACGCTCATGACAACGCCACCGAATCTACCGCCGTGGCACACGCACCTCGTATAGGTGTAACGCCTTGGTCTCTCCGGGACACATGACGTCATCGACCGGGAACGGAAGGAGGCCGATCTCTCTGAGGTCTCCAGGCTGCCCCTGCTTCCACTCTCGCACCCCGTTCAGCTTTAGAGAGAGAGAGAGAAAGCGGCGGTATCCGATGCCGGGAGAAGATTAAGCAAGGTTGCGATGAAAGCAGCATCGGGCCAGTGGGTGGTAGGGGTGCGTAGGGCACGGCACTGCTGTTGCAACGGGCAGCGTCGCCGTTTTTTGCTCTCGGCAAATGTTTCGGCTTTCACAGACACTACTGCAAGTAGCCGCCATCGCCATCCAGCAGATGACCTCAACACTCACTGGAACGGCTAAATTAAACACATCCCAACGAAAGGGGCATTTTCTCTTACGGGTTGCCTCCATGATGGTATGTACCAGGTATACCTCAGGAGGTATACTTGCTGCAAAGGCGGTATTGTAGGCGGCGGCGGCGAAAAGCCCCGACTGCTTTTACGAGCTTGCTCTCCAGCTATCATATCACACCACGAAACTACTGCTATAACCAGATCAACCCCGCAAAAGTACGCGAGTTCGGCAAAGCAACGCTGTCCTATCTAAGAACGACCCCAGACGAACAAGTGTGGCAGCGAATGGTTGCATGGACCATTCGACTCCGTCCAGCCGTCGCCCGTGCACCACTCCCTACCTCAAGCAACTACTTGCTGTACAGATATTGCTGTAGAGACGAATCTCTTGTGCGAGCTGTTCGCAGCACTGCTTTCCTGATAGCCCGCCGAACATTCAACCTGCATCTTCTTTACTTCGTGTGCTGAGAAGAGAGGGAGATGGATATCGCAGACTTCGCCCTACCGCAAAGCATGATCAACAGGCCATGACGCCAACAGCACCCGCTCTCTGTCAACGCAGCAGCTGTGACCCAGGTTTGCTGCGAAACAAGACGAGACAAAAGATACAGCACCAATCAACTCATCAGCCACCACGCTCTCTCTCACCTCTGTAGTTGCCCGACCCCACCTGCCCCTGCTGTGGGGGAGCGAAGCAAAAAATGCCCCCGTTCTGACGCATAAGCTCGCTGCCACCGCCCACGCACACCCCCAGCCGGTTCTCCGTCGCACAGAGCTCATGTTGATGTCATTGAAAGCCCATGAACACGAGCTGCACCTACACACCTCCGATGGGGGGCTCGAAGATGAGGTCGATGAAATCCATGGTACGGCGTTCATTGTGCATGCATTGATTCACGGTGCCTCTTGATGGCGTTGGCATTCTGTCACACAGAGCAGTGTACAGCAGTTTCAACATCACGGCCGTGCGTGTGGCGATGCGAGCTTGGGAGCGAAGGTGATCTTAGAGGGAGAACCACCCTAGGGCTTTGTTTCAGAAAGAAACATGTCCACCCTTTCCTTCGGATTCCCACCCCTGCAGCCGAGCCACACGGAAGAAGGTATGGGCGCGCGTAGCTAGATCCTTTTGTATGCTATAGTATCACACGGCAAGGGACGGTTGATGATTCGCTTGCTTGCTGTCAATTACATATTGATCGACATGCAGTTGATTACATGCGCTCTATTTCTGGAATGGCGCTGCCTGGCATGGGGCGCGTGTAAGTTCTCTTTCTTGCACGTGGCCCTCGAGAAAGCCTGCAACAGAGGGTAGCCACTGCCAAAAGTTGGAGCTTTGGGTCTACATAATTCAAATGTACCCCCCACAGCAGCGTACCACCGATCGCCGATCGCTCTTACATTCGCCAAAAATTGATCTATTTCGCAGTACACTGCTGCAGGAGTCATACATAGCACGGACGATATCGCACCTCTTGGAGAGTCGTAGCTGATGCTCTTGTTGACATGTCTGTACCTGCGTAGTCCCGTACGGTTGCAAGCACTGGTTGCTCAGGGCGCAATGGGCCATTTTGTGCATGATCATGTGTTTCGGTAAGGCACGGAGTAACACAAAGGTGGGTCCTGCTGTGGTGCTGTACGGCATACTGCTGTAGGAAAATACATAAAACCACTACCCGTTCGAGAAATAACGTTCGAGAAATAACCATAGCCGAATATACTGTACCCACCCACCCTTTTCTCAAACAGTCGTTGTTGTTTTTGTTGTTGTTGTTGTCTTCACATTAAACTCGTGTCCGTCGTCACAAGAATGCTATAAATAGAGCCATCAGAAGATCTAAACAACACGCACACTATTAGCAAGGGAAGGGTACACAACCGTCGGTGGATCCTGGAAAAACAAAAAAAGCTCGGCGGCGATCGGCTTCGCGGCGATCGCCCGTGCGCGAATCAACCACTGCCAATCCCATTCTGACGCATGGACATCATGGCCAGGAACCGTGCAGAGCACAGGCATCATTAACCTTCATGGACGATCTTGCACGTCTGGGCCCATTGGCGCCCAAGGCCGCGACAAAGTTGCCCTATGTGTACACCCTCCCGCTTGTACCTTTGTCTGTTTTGCTTCTCTCCCACTTTTTGTCCGTGGTTACTACTGCCTTTATCATCCTCATTGCCGGTCGGCCTACTCTTGCCTCTGTCCCACATGTATGTGTATGCATCCGCTCCTTGTCCCCTTGCGGTCCTCGCGAGTCAAACTCCACCTCGCCATACGGCAGAACGCTGAAGGAGCAGCTCGCGGAAAGCATCCGGAGCATTCTTATCGGCTGCATCATATACAATGAGAATCACCCACCGCGATATAGAAATGATACCCGGTCGGAGAGATTGATTTGACACAAACACGCACACCCAAAGCCGAGCATGCAGACAATCAAACCGAATCAGACCCTTTCGGGGTAGGAGTAGCTCACGCGCATACACCAGTGCAAAGTAGCAGCCCTTGGATAGACACGTGCAGCTGCCTTCTACCTTTTGTGTCTTTAATGCGGAGAGCAGGGTAGCCTCCCCCATGACCTGACTCCCCCTCACGGGATCCCCGATCCGATCGTCGTAGCCTTTAGAAGCATTTCTGGTTTCAGCCGCACTGAGACTGACGTCTTTTTATTGGCCAGCTTATTCTCGGGGTCGATGCTATTATTACAATAATATTGACACACACCACCGACATATGACTTTTCTTTTTTTGTGTCCCTGCCTCAATCGATGCCTACTCGCCCCCTTCTGCTCCAAACGATGTTCGCTTCCGGGAACAACACGGACAAAACCGCCTACAATACCTCTTCTACACGAAAAGCGTGGTTCCCTCGCCTCGAGTCTGACGAGATTGTGGTCGTCGGGCGACTGGAGGATTCGGTGAGGCGGGCGAAGGACAAGGTCCGCTTGCACCCCTACCCGCCCTACGTCGGCCAAAGCACACCGGAGGAAGAGGTGCGCCAACCAGGGGTAGATGCCCCCCCCCGTGCACCTTTGCCTGACAACACTCCCCGTGCTTCGCTCTTGGCGGCAAAAGTCCACCGGAGGCTGACGAGATGGAAGCTCTTGATTTCGCGTCGATCTACCGGGATGTACTACTGTAGCGTCCCCTTTTTCGGGGGCTGTAGGTACAATGGTGGCCCACGGCGTGCCGCTGTCGCAGAACTCTCCTGAATATGTTTCACATGATGACCGTTTGTTGAGCCATTCCCCCGCGTTGCCGTCCGAGAGAAGTGACCGCCGCTTTTTATTTGCCGTTACATGCGGCGCATCTGAAGGACGACGCAACTGCCGACGAGGACGATAACCAGGAGGAGAAGACCAGGGACACCCAAGACATGGCGGCGCCGAGAGAGGGCGACGAGGCAGTGGCAACGGTGGCGGCTGCAGCGGCGGCGCAGGCGGCGCATGTAGCGGTGAGAAGTCGCTTGGTCGCTTGGTACAGAGCATAGGCCGCGTGCTGTGTGACGATATCGTTCCCGCTGGATTGTCGGCGAACGGTCAAAGTAGGTACTCGGGCTCGGAAATTTTTGCGGGGGAACATTGGGGATCCGCAACAGTACAGATAATTGGTTTTTTGGCGATTACCCAACACGCCCCTCTCGCATGCTTTACCGTCATAATCAAGGACCTCGGTTGTATCTCACTCATTGTTCCGAGGGCTCACCTAATAGCTGCATTATCCTCGGAGGTGTCCGTCCTGTCACAGCGGTTGCGCAGGCTGTCTAGCTTCTCGGCGAGTAAGCCCCACCACCGCGGCTCAGCCTCTCTGCTCAAGCGCTCTACATATCTACATTGCGCTGTGAGCTTGTTTTCGCCCTCGGATCGTGCAGCTAATCCTCGCGCACTTTTTCACGTTCGATTGCGCTCGGATGGACGCTACAATACATGCAAACGAAACAGGATGAGCCGTCAACGGGGGGTGAGGGTGCCATGATGGACGACGACGACGACGACGAACAAGCGGGAGAAGACGACGAATCGGGGCAACCAGACTACTGACTGAAAACAGCCAACCTCAACCGAGTTTCCGCCCAGCTACAGTAGTCCCCTCCCTCGCTACTGACTGGGTGAATCTGCGGGCGGATGGCTGGCTGTACAGGCAGGACAGGACCAAGCTCACATGCGAATACAGACAGTCGCGATCTGGCGAAGGACAAGTGAACGCACTACGTGTAGCGTACAAGTGTCCGATTTCTTGTGGATGTGGCGGACGCTGGCATCTATTAGGCATGTCTCAAGTGTTGTGCAGGTGTTGAGCCAGCTCCGGCACGGTTCCGCCTTGGCTCTGTATGTGCTGTCTGAGGTTGGTTGCAACATCGTACTATAGTGGATCGTCACACGTTTGGTTTGTTTTGTGGGCAATGTTGCCGTTGTAGTATGCGTTGAAAAGACCGTGCAAAAGGGAGACGGATCACCCCCGAGGACCAAGCAATCAGCGGAGTTCCACTTTGACCTTCCACGAATGGGGCCGGGGGGTCTCTCTTGTGTATGATTGTGTGAAACCTTTTTGTGACACGTCGCTCTTCCGTAGAAATTGCATGTATGATCAATGATGGGGGGGATTTGTCTGGGTGAGCACGCTTTCTTGGCATGCTGGTATGGCATTAATTGAGGCTTGGGGCCGTGCAAGAAATGAGGCTTGGGGCCGTGTTTGTTGTTGGTTGTTCTAGAACAACTCGCTGTTCCAGCGCTTGATTCTTGGCATGCTGGTAGGGCCGTTTGTATATTGGTTGTCAAAGCACAAGTTGTTGTTCTCGTGCTTGATTTGCCGGTGTCCCGGTGAGCAAGAGCCGCCTATCTGTTCAGGAATAGGAGCGGGGTTCCGTGTCATGTTCTGTTCTCCGTGTACCGTACTGCCGTCGTCGTCGTCGTCGTCGTCGTGCCTTTTGCCGCCCATTTTTCCTGTGTCTGAAGATTGATTCCAGCGCGGTGAGGTTATAATCCTGCACCCCCAGTCTAAAAATAGACTACCAGCAATACTGTTTTTGCGTGGGCCTCTGAAAAACCACACAGGCCGCAGGTAGGTGTTTTCGAACCCAACCCAGATCGTTCGGCAGCGTAAGAGGCGGAGAAATGGGGGACCCCTACTGCTGCTATGTACTGCTGCTGTAGACCGATTTTCCTAGCTCAATTGTCCCCACAGACAAGCTTGTGCCAACAACAATAATGGTGGTTTTCGAAACATCTTGTTCGAGGGCAAACTGTCGACGTATCGCACGCTTTCCTCGCCCCCTTGGCTGTGGAGCAATGAATGGAGGTTTGAACTCGGTCTATATATATACTGTAGGGGGGATTCCAAATCTCCGCCTTCCTGTAGTTTGCCGCGTCATACTTTTGCATATATTATCTCACATCCTTCCCGACGCCGACTCCGACTGAGTCATTTTCAAGCGTGACGTACTCCGCGAGCGACTCCTTTCTTTTTGTAGGGCAAGCACTGCATGTGGGAGGTTGGTATTTACGAACGATGAGTGAGCCGCTCTGTCATTTTGCACTACAAGTACTTGAGCTATTAACCTACGGGATCACGCCGGGATTATTCGCGCTGGGGGTTCACTCATATGAGTGAGTCCTCTGTCACTGCACTATGTTCTTGAGAGATTAACCTACAGGATAACGTCGGGATTGTTCGCGCTGGGGGGGCACTTGTGGGCTGCGGCTGGTGCGGAGGGTTGGGCGGCGGGGCCCCCGTGACGTGTGTAGCGTAGCACGCTGTAGGTGCTTTCCCTCTTTGCCGTTGTCGCAAAAAAATGTCCCCAGTACAAAATACATTTATGCATATACGCATAAGTGTAGACAAGTATTCTCTGGTTCTGGATGACGGAATGAAAAAGAGTGTGTTGCGTTGCGCGGTCTTCTTGCGGTTTGTTTTCTTCTTGGACATGAAGCGCTTTCGAAACCCTGTCTGTGTGTCCGACATCGACCCGGTCGAAAATATATATATAAAAAAACCTGATTGATGAATGCTGCTCTATGTTGCATGCCAATGCTGCCACTTGCATACGTGTGCTGTCGAGCATACAGCACGGCACAGAACGTACCATCGACCCCTCTACCTTCCCCTGCTGATGCGCCCACTACAATTGGCACTTTCAGGCATATTCCACCCTCCGGGGCTCTTCTTCCCTGCAACTGCCGATCGATCCAGCCGTGAAGCCATCTCCGGGTGTGTGTGCATAAAAAAAAGCAACGGCTTTGTCTTTGTCCCGATCGGGACTATCGGGACGAAGTCCCGATCGGGACGAAGACTCAATGGACCACCGTTGGTTGACTCTAACTGCTGTTGGCATGCCAGATGTCGAGATAATAGACACAAAGAAGTGACTGTCTTGGTTCCTTTCCAGTACAGCATCTCAAGGCCTGATGTTGCTGTAGGAAGATGCCAGCTTGGCCGGGGCTCTGGCGTAACATGCACGATCGGCGATCATTCGATCCCACAGGTGCCAACAGGGGGGTTTTCTACGGGTCACCATGTCACCGCATCCACGGTGTCGTGAAAGAAGAGGCAAAAAAACGTTGGTTCGCCCCTCTGCTGATGCTCTTGTGTTGTCGATATCCTCATGTGTACTATGCTGAAAGACTTCGAATTGCAGAAATAATGCTGGTGCACTTGTTGTGTTCGCTCTCGCTCTCACCGTCTGGCTCCCCAACCCTCTCCGCAAAGCACAGGATGCATGCCCTATAATAATAACATGAATTGTAGTGCAATAAGAGACACGACTTCTGAGCCATCAATAGCCCGGGGGAAACCCAGGAAATTTCCTGCATTTTCGTTCTACCGCGACGCCACTTGGAGAGGCTCTCCCACATCACGCAAGCATCAAAGTCAACACACGTCAACAAGTCAACAAGAGCAGGCTCCCACCAGGTTGCTTGCTGAGCAGCAACCTTGCGCCGCGCACGGCCTTACAAGGGAAACAAATAGGGTCCCGCGGCGGTCAGTGCTGGGGGTGCACCTTCTCGCATGGGCTTCCAGCAGGCGGAAACGCCGACCTTCTGCGCAATGACTCTCGCGTCCGAGCACAAGTTGACCATGAGCAACAGCCTCACGTCCAGCAGGACCTCGAGTCCATCGCCACGCATCACCGATGACAGCCCTCCACCTCCCGACCACGGGTGGGCAGCTACCCAGCCGGACTATCCGCCGCGGTTCAACGAGGTAGTCATCAGTGACGACGGCGAGAGCAGCATTCTGAGCAGCCAGGCTCCGTCAACGACAGCAGTAGCAGCAGCACCAGCAACACCTTCTACCCCGAGGTCGGAGGCGCCGCGGCGGAGAGTGCTTTGGACGGCGTTCGACTCCCCACCGCCGGGGCCGGGGGGAGGGAGGGAGCTCGAGAGACGGAAGACGACGTTCAAGATTTTCGTTATATTCAGGGGCGGTTGGTGCACCTCAAGCCAGGCACTCCTCAAAGGCGAGTTTTGTTCAGCATCTCCTTCTGTCCTTATTCTATCGATGCGAAGAAAGACAAGCCGCTGCAACCGACAAGGATTTTAGCATTTCCCGGTACCAAAGGGGCAAAAGGGGTGTGGCCTCATGTTGAACGAACCATATGGAGATAAGGTTACCAGCAGATAGTAGATGTGCAAGAAACACTGAGTGTCACGAGGCGCATGCCGCGGGAGGGCGTCTCTCCCTCAACCAAACACAACGCCCTTGGGGGCTGGTGCTGCTGCCGCCCCTATTTTATGAGCTGGCGCATAATATGCATACAATCGGAGGGCAATACTGCCTGCCACCTACCGGGGTAAAGGGGGATTGGGAGTCTCGGAACAACGTCCCGTCCCAAATTGTTGGCATACATACAACACAACCAGCTCTCCCGGTACACACGGGCGCACGTTGTTCCAATCCCCCTAGTCCCTTCCTAGCACCGCCCAGCGTTGCGCGCTTACTTGTTACACGTCTGTCTGTGACGTATGGAAACGAGCAAAAGCGTCCCGCACAACGACACGCTGTCTGTCGCATCACTTCCATTTCCGGGAACGATCCAATGTTTCCTGAAAACGAAGCAGCTACACTTCAAAGCAAATATGTTTTTGGAGCGATTTATTGAATCTCTTCCTCCCTCCTGCGACAAGGTTAAGGTTTACCCCCCTCCTGAGCTCTCTCCCCCCCAACCGCGCTGAGTAGCTAGCCCCCATTACCACAAAGCCCTTTGAGATTACGTGTGCGTACGTATGCATTTGTGCAACAGCAGCAGGAGTCTACCTGATGTACATTGCATACATGTATAGGATACATACCCCTTTCGTGGTTGGACATGTAGTAAGGACATAAGGATATCCTTACCGGAGATTTCGTCACCCGCCGTGGATGGATTGTGGTCTACGGTATATACCTGCTGTGTAAATGCTGCTGTACCTCTTGCGTAAGGGTGAGTTTGAATTGAAGATGTACCACCACACGAAGTATGTAGTATGCATGTGCTGCAGGCACTGCTGTTCTAATTCAGAATGCCAGCAAAACCACGCGATCGATCCGATCCTGCTTGCCTCTCCCAACTTTCTTCTTTTGCAACATATGGGAGCACCACACACACCTGGTCACCTGGTGGAACATCGCCACTATTTTCTGTTCTTTTCTCCAGCCGTCATTCATTGCAGCGGATTGTGTCCACAGTAAATCTTAGGTACCCGTAAGAACGCTCCTAACAGGTTCGTATCTCTTTATTTTGGGTTCGTTAAGGTTCGCCGCGCTCATCAAGTCGAACGACGTACGCTCAGTCAGCTACCACACATATTACGCTTATCAATAGTAGATGTCCTTCTTGCTGGTACGCATAGCCAGCTGTGGGCTGGTCCTGCTCCGTTGTTTTTTTAATTTTCATGTTGCATCAACCCTTGCTGAGCCCCTCGGGGCTCTCTTTATGAGCCCACGCCCGCCGGGGGGATGTACATGCATGACTGGAATGATGAAAATTATGCATTGGCCCGAGTCGTTCAACCCAATCTCTGCGCCCCTTCCGCGCATCCGCTGGTCTCCTGCTTGTGAACAGTTATTTGCCTTCAGACCGTTCGTCATGTGAAACTACGCCCTGTTGCTCGCCCCACAATGGCACCCACTGCCCTTAAAAAGGACAATAGAAAGTTGTGCATGGGTTCGCCCAGCTTGTCACTTGCAGTTCTCGGCGAAGCGCAATGTATCATTTAGCCATAAGCAACAGCAGTACAAGATGTTTCCCAAAACGCAACTATTTCGCACAACCATGCATAGCGTTCGTGTAACTGCTGTATGCCTCTGATATTCGATGGTGCGCATGTAGATGTTCCACTCAAAACAAATGCCGAAACTGCTGTGTCATACCACACCGTTGGACACGGTCGGGTATATACCAACCCGACAGACGGTAGGCGGGGGAAAGCAACGGCTGCTGAAATATGTTCAGGGAATCTTTAACCTGCTGTACACGCGCATGCTGATGTCGAAGAATGATTTCCCGCTCGAAATATTAACCCGTCCGAAGGGTTGTGTGTTGCAACGTTGCAGCCATTACACGCTAAAGCAAGCAGCGCAGAAGGAAGGCGGCGAAGAAAACCAAGTACACCTGGCACCCTGCACTGGCTGCTAGATCTTCAGAGCGAATACTTGAATATTCCTGTACTGTTGTGTTCTTTCCTTTTTTGGTCGTCCTGCAGGGTTCATGGAGATTAACCCTGGCATTAAGAAGGTCGGGGGTAAGGTGGTCGCCCTCAGCTCGCAGACAGCGGAGCAGGTGGGCCGGGGGGCGCATGACATGCGCCTCCCCTTCCAGGCGTTCGGAGACCCCAGCAACGGCCTCGTGGACGAGATGAACATACGGTGAGTGAGAGAAGCGTTGTACGTGGAGGAGCGAAAATATCGCGTTGTTGCCATACGGTGAGGGGGGGGGAGAGGGGTACTGCTTTTCTTTTCGGACTTTTATTGCCTTGATTTGGCTGACACGTTGCGAAAACAGCGCGTTGTTACGAAAGGTTGGTGTTGTTGTCGTTGTGTTGTGCAAGCCGTTGGATGGATCTCTCTGCGGCACGCAGTGGTGTTTTGGATGCCGTATAATGCGACACACGACAACGGCAACCCGGTGAGCGCAAACGTGGAGCGCGTTGACTGCAGCTGTGGTGTGATGTAGGGGGAGGCTTCTCGCGCCATCCTTTTGTCGAGGTACACCAGCCTGTGTCTGTTTCTTTGTTGGGCCGTGAACAATCTGTATCCGTGATGGCGTTCCGCCGTACGTGTGATATCTTCCGTACGCCCGTGTAGTTGACGCCCCCGCCACCCCCACCCCCACCCACCGTGCTTTCGTTGTCCTATGTTTATACGTACCGCGAAAGGTTCAAGATGGGCTGCACCGTGAACCAGAACGACGTGGTGAAAGACACCTACCCTCACGGGATGGCGCAACCGTGCGTGTTGGCCGTGTCTACCGACGACGCTCAGGACGAGGGATCGGTTTTGTTCAGATGGAACCAGTGGCAGGTGCGTGGTAGAGGTCGTTGGTGGTTTCTCACGCCAGATCTTTCACAACAAGAAGACAGCCGTTTCTTTTCCAGTCACTGCTGCAAGGACTTGACGCCATCCTCTTGGACTGCTGTGGCTAGCGAGTATTTTTTTTTTTGTTTGATATGGACATATCTTTTGGTTCATAGGAGCCAGGCACAATAAGTGCTCTTGTGGAGCAGGAAACATGACTTGTGATTGCCCCGACTGGTTTCTAAAGTGTTTTGAGGATTTGAGGAACAAATGGGTGGCGGACTTGCCCGGCTAAGGCTTGCATGGTTGCCGCGCTCAAGGACGGAGAAGTCGCTCAGCACCAACAGCGAATTCGGTATATTCTTGTTGAGATTTCGTTCCTGTGTCCTGTGGTTGGTTGAATCGAAACTGGGCTGCTGCTGTCGGTCGCACGCGTTCGTAGTCAACCTCACTTGCGCTCCCGTTACCGTTACCAATGGGCGGCGTACCCGTCTAGGCAAAGTTAAGTTTGCCGCTAGGGGGGGGGCGGTTGAACGTGCCTGTCTCGTACTAGATTTTGTCCTGATAGTCACCTCCATTCTCCCCCCACACGTCTGACCCTCTCGCCCCCACCTCTCTCTTGCCATCCCCCCCGCACGTCCAGACGATCGCGTCCATGAGACACGTTGATGCCTTGGCGCACATCACCAGGGCGCTTGCCATCAAGAAGAACGAACCAGAAGGTGGCCCTTCCTCCGGCACACCGACGGCGACCTCGCACGTCGGCCTCGACGGCTTCGCCACCCCGCCCTCCTCCGCCGCTGCCGCACCGCCGCCGGCTCGACTCCCTCCCCGCCAGCCCACGCTCCTCCGACAACCGCCGCGCCCGGGCTCGCCGTCATCATCGTTTGAAAGAACCGGCGGGTACGCGCCGTTTGGGGGCGACGACGTAGGCCTGTGGGTCCCGGGTAACCGACGGGAATCGCGCGAACGTCCCACCACCGCCGCCGGTACCCGCGGTGGCGGGCGGGGGGCGATAGCGGCAACGGCGAGGGCGGCTGCGGACGGGGCGCTCGCGGTCGAGTGGATGAAAACGGGCCGAGACCCGGCTTCGACGTCGAAGCCGCGGGCGGCGGGGAGCAGCGGCGGCCACGGCGGTAGAGCAGCGGAGGAGGAGGAGGAGGAGGAGGAGGAGGAGGTGCACGTCAAGGAAAGAAGCAGCGGCGGCGGAGGAGGGAGGAGGGCGCCGCCCCGAGCGCGAGCGGCGACACCGCCGCTTGGCGGCGGCGGCGGCGGTGGCGGTGGCGGTGGCGGCTGCAGAGCGGTTTTGAGGACGCCCCGCGGGGGCGCCAGAGGCAGGAACAGCCACCCAGAGGAAGGAGGGGGTGCGTTTTTTTCCGGACGGGAAGCATACGCGGACCATGCCGGCGGCAGCGGCACCGGCGGGGGGCACCTCCGCAGACCGCCCACCGGCCCGTCTCGCTCCCACCTCCTGCCGACGTACTCTCAAGCGGCGGCGGCGCCCGCGACCCCCATGAGGCAGCAGCTACCCCCGCAGCACCGACGTCCGAGGTCCGACACGCACGCGCAGAGAGGCGCGGGGACGGGGGCCAGGGGGGAGCGACCCGGGCACCACAAGGCGGAGGGCACCCCGCGCGGCGTTGGGGCGTGGCAGTTCTGGTTGGGGGCGACCGGCAGGGCCAGACGGGCGAGCTTCGACGAGGCTGCGGCAGACTTCGAGAGAGGGGGCACCGTTGGCGAAAAGGGGGTGGGGGGCGAAGAGCAACGACGCACAGGGAGCCTCAAGTTCTTCTCCTCGGCGGGCGGCGGGGACGGCGCCACGGTGGCGCCACGGGGGGCGAAGGGGAGCAGACCTGTAGTGCCGCCGTCGCCGGCGCGACCGTGGGGTTACCTGCGGAAGGCGCGAGCTCCGGCAACACCGAAGAGGGGTGGCGGCGGCGGCGGCGGCGGCGGCGGCCGCGGCGGCCGTGGCGACGCTCCCTCCTCACCGGGGGTCCTGAACTATAGCAGTGACGTGTAAGAGTTGTAGTCCCGTTGGTGCAGGGGAGGGCTTCGGCTGTGGCATAGCATACCACCTTTCCCCAGTCAGCAGCAACAAGGACACTTCGAACGATTTTGTGGTGCGTGTGACAACAGCGAGCGGCAGCTGTTTTGGCTTTGATTTTGGTGTTGAGTGTTCCGTTCCATTTTTTTATTTTGTTCCACGAAAAATGATCGTTTTTTCAGCCTGGATGGCGTGAACGACATTTTCATTTTGGTGTTCCTGGCCGAGACAAATAATCATGGACATGGTTTCTCCCAGCGCGATCTCCTGTGCTTGGTACATCCGAACGCGAGCTTCTTACTTTCACTTCGGTTTTCGATTTGGCTTGTCTGCAGTTTTTTTTTTACTGGAAGGAATGTGGGAAACGGAGGATCTCATTTAAGATCTTTACGGCTATGGTGGCGTCTCGGTTTTGTGAGCCTCTTGTTGTTTGTTTGTACCACCGGCAGCAGCCCAATCCGCACGTTAGGCTCCCTGCTGGAGCCTTCTGTTTTGAGGGGTTATCGTGGGTTTCGCACAATGATGGTTAAGTGTATTAAATTGTTTTTTTGTTTTTTTTTTGTTGGCGGTTACAACATTCCTGTCCGTTTTTTGCCTTTCCGTCGGTTTAATGGGTTATCGTGGGTGGCGAAGTGCTTCAACACGCGCGGCGTGACGCAACAAGAGTGTAGTGCTTGGTTTGTGCGCCGTATGTCTTTGGAGCTGCACCTGTTCACCCACTTTTAAGCCATCTCCGGATGCACGGAACATGGTGTTCTCGGAAAGGGGGTGGGAGTCCGATACCACAGCGCGAACAAAAACCGTGGCTGGCGTGCTGTAGTGGTAGAGTTTTTTTTTTTTTTTTGTGTGTTTATGTGCAGCAGTTTTTATCCCTAGGAAGGCGGTCGGAATGCGGCAACATGTACAGTTTCGGATGCGCATTACGACCGTTTTGCAAGGGGAAGTCAGACAAGAGACAAGACTGTCGCAAGAGGGGAGAGGGCGGTGTGCGTGTGGTTGGGGAGAAATGGGCGGGACACCCCCCTCCGTAGAGTAGCGATTCGTCTACTGGGTACAACAAACCACCCTCGGGGCGAGATTTTCAGTTCACAAAGCGGGCGAAGAGTTGAGTGCCTAGCCGGGGCAACCATCATTAGCTGTTCTGTTTCCCCCCTCTGCTTTGTCGTTAGCAGCTGCTGCTGGCGGTGTGTGTGTTTGTCTGTTGTCTTTTCTTCTTTTCTCTGCGCCCTACGCGGATGGAGCGATGGTCGGCGTGGCAGCCCCTGAAGGGAAGGGGCGCTATTGCGGTGATTCGTGTGCTTGTAGAGATTCTATATAGCTGACTTTATGATAGTGGAGCTACCCCTTCTCCCCGTGTAATTGATGTTGACATCTGGAAGCGGTCGGCACTGACGCAATTCTGCGTCGATTATGTTGTGCGGCGGGAGTCCAAGAAGGGCGAGACGTGTGCTCAAAAGGAGATGGACGGCGACGAGCGGGTTGCAACAAACTGCGGTGTTGCTGTGTTGATTTGTGTGTCTACCGGTTGCTCGTAGTCGACACGGAGCGATTTGGCAGAGTAGGGAAGGTAGCTTGGAATATTTTCCCCGTGGATATACACATTGTCATGTGCCCGACCATCATCGCGCAGAGACAGAGTTAAAGGTTATGTGTACTTTATTTTAGTTTGTGCTTGCTTCCACTGCTGTGATGCAAACACCTGATTTTGATGGTTACTCTCCACCGCTGGTCGGCGCGTAGAAGCACAAGATGCGTGAGCGAATTAAAATAAAGTCCATTGATATTATTTCACGTGCGATTTCTGCGTCTCGTTCGTGCCCTTTGTCTTTCGCACGATGTTTCACTGACCAAACCGTGCGCGTTTTGACCAATGCGGGTCCAAAGGTTTTCTGCATTTATCGCACCGGGCGAAACATGGGGTAGGGCTTCCCGGGAGGAAAAAGAGAAGACATTCAAGTATTTTGTGCTAGTGGTTGATGTGCGCAGTGGGAGTAAAGTTAAGAAATACGTGAAAATTACATTTGTTTCTTCTGACTGAAAGGTTTTTCAAGCACTGCCTCTCATGTGCAAGCGGTGTTGTGGGTGACTTCTTTGTTCACTAAAACAAATCCACACGGGGCTTGGTTTTGGTGTTCCTGCCCGCGTGCCCCCCGCAGATCTTGCGCGTTACCATGTATGCATGGCACATTTTGGCACTGCGCTCTTCTGCGCGCAAAAAAAAAATAAAGCAGCTGCACAACATCCTCACGTGAGTCGTGTGCTTCACACACCACAGCCCTTGAGATTTGTTTTGCTATGTTTCTGACACTGCTGCTTCGCAAGAACACCCGCAGCGTGAGGGTGTCAGGGTCAGAACACCGTCCAACGTCGGCGAGGCTAAGAGTGTCCAAACCTCCTATACTAGTCGGCGTTGACAATCGCGCGTGGCTGGTGTAGCGTCAGTTCGGCTTGGCCAACAAGGCCGCCATGTCCGAAGCACATGCAAGTGGTAGACTGTCGGAAATAGTTAAAACCAATTCATTTTTCTCTGTCAAGACCCTGAGCTGTAGCTTGTGATCAAAGATCGTGAACCAATTACAAGCTTCTCCTAAAAAAAGAAAACAGGCACGCCGTTGAGTTCGTTGGGGCCCATAGGCATGCATGTATGCATCAAACTGTGCACCACTGGTGACGAAAGAGTTGGGGGCCGACTCTACCCAGCAGCCTTGTTTCACAGCAATCTACAGCAGCGTGGCTTCGAGATAAGAGGGTGGTGTGGTGTGACAACGGCCTTCGATTCGACCCTCTTATATCGGAGACCCCTCTTGTTGCATACGGGAAAAAGAGGGTACTGTACCCCAATTGCTGTGTATGCGAAGCGTGTCGAGTCCGCGGCAATCGATTCGAACCCTCTCACATCGGAGCTCCCTCTTATAAGGCACCCTCTTGCCACCACTATATGAAGGGCCCAGGCCTATGTACGGCGCGGCGAGTCGAAAGGGCAGGCGATCTGCCTGCCCACTCCATTGACCACCAGTCTACAGCAGCGACGACATGCCTCCCCTTACAGGGTGAGGCCCGGCGTGCAACGGACCCGCCACACATGCACAAAGAAAATTAGGTTGGGCCTAGGGTTGGGTGTGTTTTTTGTTTTGGTTGTTTTTTTTTTTGTTCAGTTTCGGGTTTTTTTGTTTTCAGTTTTGGGGACGCAATCGCAAACGAACGCCATCATCGCTCGTTCCTCTCCTCCAGGTCTGTTTTCGCTTCCTTCGGCGTCTGCTGCGGTGGCGAGGAGGGCACAAGGCACGCCTCTACCCCACGACGCATGGCTTCCACGCCAAGCTTCCTCGTGGTGTCAACGTTCCTCTCCCACACCTTAGCCGGGTCGCTGATCTGCTCGACCGCCGCGGACACCTGTGCGTCAACAAGTGTGAAGTTTCGCCAAACATGAGGGCGGGTGACGGGGGGAGGGACACACGCATGGGCTGACGCGATTTAACCAGAACCTGCCTCTGATGTACCGAAATGAACAGTTTCACGCGCTTAGAAGTCTCTAAAGAGTAAATGAAGGTGTCGGGAGGCAACCGCAAAAGTGTGGCAGAGGGTGTACTCATAGTCGTGCATGCCGTAGTCGCTAGACCATCGACCTCGCAATCCTACAAAGCGGGGACGGAGCACGCCGGGTTCTCACCGGACCAGGCTCTCACGTCACCAAGCGCGAAGCGCCGTGAGGTATTCGGCGGGCCGCATGAAGGGTGCGCTGTGTCCTGCTATTGTAAGGATGCTCGGCATCTTGTGCTTACTTCATTGCATACGGATGACAGCTGCGAATGACTCGATTCATTTTCTGGTGCTTTCACTTCCAGAGACAGTTAAAGCACTGCTGTGCGACTGCCTCGAGGGTGCTTGACGAATTCAACAGAACGTGGTGCGATCATGCCCTTTCCAGCGGAGTGAGGGTTCTCGACTCCGCACAACATCATCTATTAACCACTCGACCACCATTATTGCTACGGCAAAAAAAACCACAAAGGAAAAAAACACGGAAACCTGCTTGTCGAGCTCACGAAGTGGTCCGCTTATGATACAACGTCGTTGCCAAGCGACGAAAACCCAACCCCGATGGGAAACAGCGGGGGGGGAGTGTGGTAGAGGAAGAGGAGAAAAACTCGTTTGCTCTTTCCATGCCTCTTTCTGGAGACGGGGGTTCGTTGGCTCTTTTCCCTATGATAGCATAGACCTCAAGAACGTTATGGCGGTCGACATGCCCCCGCCCCCCCCCGTGTATGTGCCTAAAACAAAAAAAAATCGCGTTTGGCCCCTTGCTTATGGCATCATCCGGGTGGTATCGTCAAGGACAGGGATGTGTTAACACGAACAAGATGTGTCCACGGCTATGTAGTCCTTCTAGCTTTCCATCCTCCTCGGGGCAACGCCCGGCGTACAGCTCACATGATCGCGCACTCGTAAGATTCTTTTTTCTCTCTTCTGCAGTAAATAGTGCCCCGCGAGCTATTCCACACAAAAACAGAAAATCAACACACAACACACGACTTCTGACACCCGCACGGCCAACCGCTAGAACAAGGTTAAATAGGGGTTTTCGTCACCTGGGGAGGGGAACCACCCGTACCTGATCTTCCAGCAGCAGGTGCAGCACGGGGTAAGGAGATCGATTTGTGTAGTTGGACGCGTCATCCTCCTCAGAGCCCTCGAACCGGTACTGAGGGTGAAACGTCGCCAGCTTCATGTATGTGGGGGTGTCCCACACGAGTGGCAGAAAAATGGTGGCGGGGGGAGGTGGAATACGCTCAGTTGGGCATGGCAGTACAATAGAGTTGTCAGACGACGGGTCCAGCAAGAAGGAGGTGGCTGCCGACACTTGGCGGTTTGTCGTGCGCCGTCCTATTTCCTAGATCTAGCAGGTGCCCACTCGATTCTGGAACAAAGCGATGGAAGGACACATGGCTTACTTCTGTCCTGTGAGAGGCTACTCTACTCTGCAACCCGTCAAGTGCTCCGAGAATGGAAGTTTCGGGATAAAACCTCGTATTGCCGTATAGACAACGAAATACAGGAAGTCTACGGCCAGTGAGAATGGAAGCGAAGCCGCTCAAGACAAGGATATCGAGGACGAGCGTGACTACCCTTTACCAAGCGCCTATAACTTATAACCCCCAAATCATTCGTACAAGGAAGCGTTCGGGGGAATTCGGAAAAGCAGAAACAGGCATATGCTACTACGGGCAGTGAACAGTCAAGGCGGGAAGATATACGTTGTAGTATTGGTACGTGCTTCATATGTTGGCCCCCCCAAAAAGCTTACGGTAGGCATGGGTGCGATGCTTCCCGTGGGAGATAGAGGGTCATCGCGACCCGTGGAGCAGTCGTTTACGAAACAACACAGATGAGATCTTAGATGAAGGCGAAGCTACTAGATAGTACAGTAGATCGAAAGCATAAACACAGTCGGCGATGACACCAACTTGTGCCGGCCCAACACCGCCTTGGCCACATCCGTTTTCATGAAGAAAAAGGCGGATCAACACATGGAACACACGGCACATGCGATTTGTACTAGAATGGAACGCACATGGACGAGGAGCAAAAAAAAAAAAACCGCCATCCTTCACCTGGACTTTGCCCCGCAAACCCGATTCATCAATGAATTCGTCCACGGCCCCGGCCACGGAAAGAAACTCCTCAAAGCCTTGCGCTAGCGGCGGCCTCGCTACGACCAGCGTCGTGGCGTTGGCGGCGGCCTCCCCGCCCAGGGCGCTCAGCGCAACCGCCTCTCCGGTGGCCACCTCCACCAAGCCCTCCAACAGATCAGCCGCATCGCTGCTTGCGCCGGAGTCCTTGCTCACGCCGCCGCCTACATCGCTGCCAGGGAGGCGTTCTTGGTAATCGGTAGCGGCTGGCAGAGGCTGCTGCGCCGGGTGCACAAGGACTCGCAATTGTCCGCCCACAAGCGCGCCGGCTGCCCACGGGCAGAGGTTCAGCCCTATTACGGTGGAGCGGATCCAGCGCAGAGTGGCCTGCGCTATGGCGTCGCCGCGGCTGTCCCTGTCTTGCCGCGGAGAACGTGTGTTCTCCGGGCACGGGCGGGACGCCTGATCGGAATCAAGCCAACCGAAAAGGGGGGCGGAGGTATCTACGTTTAGGAGGGAGGGTCGGAAAGAGACGTTGGGATTCAAGAAAAACCGGTGGAGTAGAATCGAGCGCGCTTGGGGTGTATCACAAATCAAAAAGGCAGCAATTCAATGTCAGATATGGTGAAATAGGTTATTAATAGTCGGTCTGAAGATGAACAATCGTGCTCAACATCCTGGCTACGGCAATGAGGTGGTAAGGCCTGCCTTACGAATTCAACTGCACCTGGTACATGTATGCACACAGCAGTAGAATATTGATGGTGCTACCCGAGGTCCGCAGCAGCGTATGCCCTCAAGCGATACTCCTATACGGCTTCACAAACAAGAAGCGGCCAATTTACTTGCGACCACGGTCTGGTACCCTTCGTAATGATCACATAGGTCGTGGAGACGGCGAACGTACTCAACACACACCTAGCCATGGCCGATCATCGCGGCCGCAAACACTTCTCACCTCCGTGGTGAGTGAACACAGCAACAACGATTGGTCTGCTGAGGCACGATGAAGATGTTTCCTCCTGCGAGCAAATTCCCTCCCGACTCCACCACACCCTCCGCACGAGACACTGCTCCGAATCGGAGGACGATGTCGAGGAGGTGACTTACATGTAGACGCCGGATGCAACAACAGCAGTGCCGGCGGCACCTGGCTGCTTGATGAGACGAAAGCTGGAAGCCCTCGGGGCACGAGGGCGGAGAAGGCCGATGGCGGTGTCGCGTGGCCGCGTAGTGGGCTGTAGAGGAGATTTCCCATCACGTCGGTACCTCTAGTCAAGTTGTCGGCCTCATCTCCTCTCTCTCTGCCCGCTTGCCGTTGGCACTGTCGTGAGGCCTGTTGGTTGGGCGACGCGAACAGTCCAGTGAGGAGCCTCGTACTTGGAGTTCGAGCTTGTCGTATTGACGAAGTTTCTTGGATAGAGCGGCAAGGTAATCGACTGCCCAAGGCGTTTGGTCGTTCGTTCGTTCGCCTTTCGACCCACCACTGGCGTTGGTGCTCCTTGAGGAAGCCTGATTCGCGGGCGTACGGCCTTCAGCCGCCAGCCATTTATTTTATTGGCCCGAATGGGAGCAGCAGCGTTGATGCATGCAGCACCACCACCATGAAGGAACGCCACCGATGTCAGCGGCAAACCCATTTTTTCAATTTTCAAGCCGCACTTCCTCTTGCTCGCTCGCTCTCGCCACACAGCTACGAACGATATGGCGAGTCATCAGCACAGCCACTGCGGAGATAGCACCTGCAACCACGACCATGGGACCTCGGGCCAAGTCGATGGCGAAGAGGACTTCCATGAATTCCTGGAAGAGACGCACCCTTGCTGTCAAAAGGACAGCGAAGCCAAGGCTAGGTGATGCCTCCGTGATCTACGTTGGTGAACCCTTAGACTACTTGTACGCTCGCTCGCTTAGTCAAGTCTACAGCAGCAACTCGACTATTGACTAACAGGTATGTGTCAATAGTCTACCACTACTTTATGCCCGTGGCCATGTGTCGAGTCAATCTAGAAGCGCTGGACGTGTCGGCTACTATACGGGTTGGCTGGCGTGCCTCACCGTGTCTCCGTCCAGCACGAAGAACTGTTAGGACTCATTCTAGAACCTGTTAGGCTATAACGAGACTCGAGATGATTGTATGCATCCTCTAGCAAGCTGGCAACCGGTTTCCACGCGGACGTCGCGCGAAGGTACATCGCTACAGGGGTACAAGTCGTCGACCCACGGGACATCCTCCCGCGTCTCCTTTCCTTTGCAACCAATGGCACCAAGTAGTCCCACGGGTACAGCAGTAGGGTACACAGGAAGGTTGGTGTCGTCCCGACAGGATTGCCGGGCGATGATACATAGAGGCCGCAACGGCAGTGAACCTTCGAGGCAAGTGAGCCCAGACGCCCCTTCCCCACCGCTTGCACCCCAACGTACATATGTACACATCAACGCCCTCTCTCTCTCTTCTCTGGCGCCCAGAGCGTTAAAGCTGCGGTCGGCCCTGGACAAGGTGGACCTCAGTCAGATCGCCGAGCGAGCGAGGAAGGCGGCGTTTTCATCGGGGTTGGCGGGGCCGCCGGCTTCCCGCAGTGGCGGGGGTGACTACCCGGCGTTGAGAGAGGCAAGGGCCGCCGCCGCCGCTGCCGCTGCCAAAGGTGAGGATGATCCGTGGAGATTTTGTTTGACACGCAGGGTGTGCATGGCCTCCTCAAATGTTGTATCGCTTGAAGCGATGAATGGAGCAGAGCACGTCGGACATTAGGGGCTGTCGACATGGTGCTGAGAAGTGTGGCAAGTATTTCTGTCTCTCGCGATGACTCCGCACCCCCCTGTGAGGACGCCACGCATACCGCGGCCCCCCCCGTCTTTAGTGTGTCTGGATAGCGAGATCACTTGGGCCGGGCGACGGTGGGAGCTCGGCTAGACGATGACGAAGGCACAGCTGCCGTTGACGTTGGGTCTACATGGGTCTACAAGGTTGTAAGGGGACCTGTGGTGTCCTGTCTGACCTTATCCCGTCTCGCTCAGATTCTCGCAATGACGGTGCGGCTCGTGGGGCGGGGTACGGAGATGGAATAGTCGAGGGCCACAACAACCACAGCAGAGTCGACAGCGACGATGACGATGACGATGACGATGACGACGATGATTTGGACTACCTGCTGGATGACCCAGGTGCGGAACTAGCTGTTCGGCAGTATATACCAGGAGGGACATCCAGGTGCTGCCAACCCCCTTTGGAGCCCCTGCCAGTAGGTAGCGAGGGAAGTCACGGCGTACTACTGTGCCGTTCACGGGCGTGCCATCATCAGCCAGGGCTCCTTGAAACGTTCCATATTGTCTTGCCTTGTTGTTGCCGCAGGTGTGAGACAACTGCCGTGGTTCCGCGTTCAATCAAACTTTTGGAGAACAAATCCTACGCGTCGATCACGTTTGTTTACTTAGTCTCAGTGAAATCCTCTGTTTGGCATGTCGTCACTGGAGCATGCTCTCTCCACGCGCATCATGTTTATTCACCACAAGACAATTACAAAATCGTCTCATGAAATTGTCTGTGTTTCGACGCGTGGGGCTCGACGTTTGTCCCTTTTTCAAATCGACAGAAATCACGCGCATGGCACAGATGCGAGTGGAAGCGATGCATGCCGACGCGACAAGATTGCAAAACCTACGCGCCCTTGGTTTCGGTCTCCACATCGAGGTGAGTGCTCCGTGATTCGCAATGGTGGTGGTGGTGGGGGGCGTCTTCTGATCAGCCAAATATTTGCATTTGCACATCCACACTTGTGCAGTACGGTACTCCACGAACCAAATCTTGTCCCATGTTGAGAGTCCGGCTGCGTGCCGTAGATAGCAGATGTGACGCGCACGCGCGCTAAACGAATGCCCCGCTGAGATGACGTGCTGTCACTGGTGGGCCGGTTGATCGCTGTCAATCCTTGCCAGAATTTGCGCTTTTGCATGCAGCGGGCTGCATGCCAAGACCGGTACGTTGTTTTTTCCGCTCACGACCCATCGGGCCGGAAGTAAACAGGATCGAGTCCAATAGGCGGAAGGAGGTTCGGCAAGCATGGCATAAATAAGCTCGGTAATATTGATGCTGGCACAGCAGGAAATCCAGGTTTAACAATACCTGTTTGTGGGGTCGTGGCCATTTCCTGGTACAAGCAGTAGCCTGAACCCTTCCGACATGTATTCCTCCGTGCCCTTGCCTGCGTGGGCGTCCCGTGGACTACGCAGTCCTTCCGGTTTTACCTTGACAAAGACTCTGAGGCAATTCCACATATGGCAGCCGGCGTTGGTGGCAGTACGAGTGAAAGCGGGACGCTTCACGGGTTACTTTGGGCAGTACCGCAGAAAGAGACGTGGAAAAACATAAGTTGTGTGGACTGCCTTCCTCCTGCGTGGCGGCCCCGACTAGTCTCTCCGTGTGTGCCGAAGGGTGCAGTCTCATGTCTACATTGGATACATGTATACTATCTTAATATTTGAATGCTCATTTATAATTGGAACGCACTTGAAAGCACACGTTCACAACAAACGAGACAGCATCGATAGATTAAGGATAGGTTAGATGTATTGAAAGCACGCTGAAGCATTGATAGGATTTGAATGCACACATGTATATGAAAATCATTTGGAAGCACATGTTCACAACTAAATAGACCCCTGTCGATGGATTATGGATAGATTGAAATCACATTTTTAGCCATTGATCTTCACAACCCAAAATGCTATTGTCACCCCTCAACACAGGTACCAGAATCAGGCGTGGAAGAGGCGTCTCGAGGCCAGTTCAGAGGAGCAGGCGTGGTTCTACACCTGTACGACGCAGATTCGGAGCTCGGGGCGTCTCTAGACCTTCTGTTGGAGGCCAAGGCGGGGTCCTACATGGGCACGAGGTACAGCAGTAGGAAGATTCTTCGCGCGCGTCATACGAAGGCGATCATGTCTTCAACCACCTACAGTAATCATGCTGTCGTGGCCTCTTCGCCTTCCAGCCACCTACAGTATGAATGGTGTCGTGGCCTTTTCAACGTCCAACCACCTAAAATGATAATGCTGCTGTGCCCTTTGCGCCCTTCCAACCACTTACATCAGTGCCTGTTTTCGCGCCTTGCCTACATCATGCATCTTCCTTCACTTGAGCGACTAGCAGAAACTGCACTAGTTATGTAGCATGTCGGCACCCGGGGGGAAAACACGAAGTCCAACGGCGCCCGTCACCCGAATTTTTGTCAAATCCGTCGTCCCAGTTATGATTCTCAAGAGCCAATTAATGTCCGGCGCTCATATTTTTCTATATTATTTGTCTCGTGTTCAGGTTTGTGCGCTGTCGCCTGGGGCCGGAGTCTGCCGTGGCCGCGACGATGAGGATCAGAAGGGTGCCAGCGCTGGCGTGCTACAAGGTTGGACCGGGCGGCAGCGTCTTAGTCAGTGTTGTGATTGATGCTACTTGTTGTTCGTGTCGTCTAGCTTGCTGTGTGTGTGTTTTCCTCCGCTGTTTTGTTTGTTTTGTTTGTTTGTTTTGACGATTTCAACGCCGCTCCCCCCGGTCGATTGCTGGTGCGCGTGTCGTCTACTGTTTTTTTTTGTTGTCGGTATCAAACTCACTCCCCCCTGTAAGTGAATACCCCTCGAGGTCGTTGTTGGTCTGTTTTCATTCTGTTTTGTTTCTGGTTGGGTTTCGATGAAGGGTTTTCATTCTCGCGGGTGACCGCAATCCTTGTACACAGTTTCGGTCTCGGCGCAGGGGGGGGGGGGGGCTTGGGTCAACATCGTTAATTACCTGCACCGAATAGAACATACGGCATCTCCACACCGATCTTCCTTCCTTGTCGACAACATGAGACTCTGCTGCATGTAGGGGAGAGTCTGGGCAGATATTTGCAACAAAACATGCCTGCATTCCAACCTTTTCTCGCTTTTGGCTTACCCCCCTTTTCGCCCCCCCCCCCGACCCACCGCCAATCCCTCCGCCGCGACCACTTTCAGGGAGGGGTACGGACGGCCTACACCGAGCAACTATCCCAGTTCGGAAACTCGGATGGGGTAGACCCGGGGGCTGTCGAACGCTGGCTCGTGGCATCGGGAACGCTAGAGTTCGATCCCCCCGACGCGAACGCACTATGCGAGGGCGGTGGGTTAGGGGTGGTGGGTGATGATGGAGACGGGGACGATGAGGAGTCGGCGGAGGCGAGGTACGACTGCGGGCTCGACGGCTGCCACAAGGCGTTCAAGCACGACCACTTCCTCGCCGCCGGAGGGGGAGGGCTTCCGAAAGGCTTCGGGGAGGGCGTTTGATTCACGAGCCCTCGCGTGTCGTGAGAATGAATAATATTGTTCGGATGTGACACCGAGTGTTGTCGCGCTCATGTGTGCAGCGAGGACATTCCGAACAAAAATGTGTAGGGCTAAGGTATCATGTTTATTTTCTGAGCGCGGCTGGCTGTTGTGGTGGCCGTGGGCACTAGATTCGGAGCGATCTCGGGGGACTTTTTCTTTGCAGTCCCGTGGCTTTCGGAGACAATCCTGCAGCATGGGAGTCTCCCGATACAAGATTTTTGTTTGCAGTCGTCAGGAAGGAAGCCAGTTCTTGACCTCGGGACATGTGGCTTAGAGCTGACAACAAGTTTCAGCCGAGAGAATGGTTTTCTGCGCAGTCAGGGTGGAACATGGCCAAGACAAAGTGAGAGCAAGGACGCGGCGTAGTTGGTTTGCTCTGTACGCTGTTCATCTCACCAGAGCTGGTTGACGGCTGTGAATTCTGGTCGCCTGTGTGGTCGCGGGTATAGGAAGCAATGAATCCCCCTACCATGCGCTCAAAAGCAGACGGCGCAGCCTGTTGCAGGTGTACCTTTTGATGACAATACCTCAACACCCATGGGGGGGTTTTCCGCTAGCAAGGGCACTATCATCAGAGGTTGTGATCCTACATATGTTGTGTGAAAGAAAGCGCGGACTTGGAGTGAAAGCCTCTCTTGGCTCCGACCGTATCCAGCACTGCTCAACTTTGCCCCCCCCCCCGTTCCGTCCTCACGCGTGCTGGACAAAAGCCTGTCATGGGTGGGCCCGTAGGGATCACCTTCCGGGCGGCGGCGCTAGTATGAGCCCTAACCGTTGATTCGTTTCATTAGGGTTTGAGGGAAAGCGGGCTCGAAAAGTCTTCTATTTTCAGCAGGCCTATGCCGCCGAGTCCGAACCAATGGGCGTGCCGGCGTGCTCCATGTTTCTACAAGCACGTAAAACGTTCACGTGCGAGAAGGTGCCCCCAAAACATTCACTGTTGTGGCGAGACCTCAATTCATCCTTTCGAATGAGCTATTTTCTCAAACCGGTACGGTAGTCTTTCTTCGATGTTACGTGCTGGTATTTCTTATTCTTGTTGAAGGTATCGTTCCGTCTACAGTCAACAGTGGCCCATAAATCAGCGGTGATGGTAGGATGGTAGCCTCTGCTGGCACCGTCTTCTGGCCTGCCTCTTTCGCATCCTCTCTCCGACCCGCTATGCATCATACGTCTGGGCTTTTCTTCGTTCACCCCGGCTTCCGTTGCACCGGTAGCAAAACATACTTTCATACAGGCTACGGTTCGTGTCCAACAACATTGCCCTACGAGCAGTACACCTAGCCGATAGAGATACATTCACCTCTGGCCTCTATTTTATGACTCTGGAACTGCAATTGCGCACAGGTCCTACGATACTGCTTGCATTGGCGACAACAGAAAAAATCACCCAACGTCTGTTCTTCTATGCATACAAGACCTCAGGGCCTCCCAAAAAGGCGTTATTGTAACAGTTTTCCCCGCCGTACCGGGCGATTAGACTGAATGAACAGAAGAAGCTTCGTCAAACCATCTAACGATTCAGCACCACTGCTGGAATATTTGGGGCCTATGCAAGTCTCCCTGGCAGCATCAATGGCATCGTCTTGAAGTTTTTCGAAAACTCAAAAAATCATCCTTGACCGATCCAGTCGTTCTACCACGGGTGCACGGCACCTCTTTCCCTAGACTATGAAAACTATATGCGCTGAACCTCATACGACCGCGCACCCACCGAGTAAAATTTCCCAAAATATAATGCGTTCTCCATGTGAGGGTTCCGAAAAAAGAGGTATGATGTACAATAGACTACTGTAGTCGACGCGCTCAAACGCCATGTCCACCACAACGACTCATGTCTCCCCCTGAAGGAAATTGATGTCTCCCTTCTGGAACGGGTTCGCCATACATGTGTCAACGCTTTGCCACGGAAGTACGACTACTCTTCAGTGGGCAGGTGGCTGACTGCAGCACCGCCAATCAAAAGTCCCGGTTCAGACTTCTGGCGCACCTCCACACATTGGATTCGTCGCACGTGCAGTACGGCCCCCACACTGGGTACGTCTGCAAAGCGAGTCGAACAAGACGAAGGAATGCGAGGCAGGGGAAGATGGGGGGGGGGTCATCCACATGTAGGTCACAGTAAACATCAAGCACAACGAAGGCGCACAGCATGCGTCCAGGCTATACTGTCGATTGATACAGAAGCCCCACATCGCGCGACAATACATAGACTATTCATTTATTTTAGATGGACCGCGGTGCTAAAGTGAGTGACCGTTGGCCAGGGCTTCATAAAAACTGTGGAGAGGAGAGGAGGAGAGTACAATAATACGAACGCGACACTCCCTATAGCAATGTGAGCCATGTGGCGGCACAACAGAGTTTCGAACAGGAAGATATTTCACGACACCCGTCGTCAAATGTTCTACTCTTGGACAGTTGTGTATTCTTCAGCCTGGTGGAGCAATTCATTGTTTTCGGTTGCGTTTGCGCCCCCGTCCCGACGAAAAGCGTATTAAAGAAAATAAGGTAGGTGTGATGGAGCTACGGCTGAAAAGTAAGTATGACCTTGACGATGGTGGCGAAATCCTTGTAGTCCGAGTTAGCCTTGCCGCTGCACATGTTTCGGATCGAACTGCGGCCACTCTCGCGGTACCTGAAACAAACAAGCAAGCACATTCGGAAAAAGTCATCAACCCATGTAACGTGCACGAAAATGGTACTACCTTTGGGTACGTGTTTGTTCAGTGAACGTCGCTTGTGGTGGGTAGAATCTGACTGATATCAGTCCTGTTCTGCATGTTTGTTTCAGTATGACCGTAGTTGGTGCCGCAGTGTGGACTGAACATCGGCTTGGTACAGCTGGTACCTAATTGTAGGGAAGTATTAAACCGGCCCGTAATACGACAAATCGACCAAAGCGCGAGCGGGTACCTATGTTACGCATCCTTGCGAGACCACCAAAGGAACATTGAGGACGAAAGCGTATGGACTGGGATCTACCTGTGAGAAGCCGAACAAGTCGGTGAGTCATCGTTTCTGAACAAGGAAAGCGACCCGTCGTGTTGGGATGATGAATTTGGAGCGGAAATGCAGGGAGAGGTGGAGTTCTACAGTAGTGAACAATCACTCACTCGACGTGGAAGACCGGCTTCTTTGGCGACACGTCATCACCCATGTTCCATTCCTCGGCGAGCTGCCAAGATAAAGGCGAAACCCGTATTTGAGGCAGAAGGCGCGAAGCGCGGGGGGAGGAGGTTTCAGGATTTAGAACTTCCGCTGGGAAGAAAAACAAGGCACCAGCACAGTTTGACAGGCATCCGACAGAAGAGGCGTACCGTGTCTGTGTAGAACAGGTTGTGTCTCCAAAGCGAGAAACCCGTCCGCGTCTCTTTACCCCCTATCAACTTTGTTAGTAACTGTGTTCCGTGGGGTTGCCAGCTTCTTGGGGAGCACTCACGCCGCATTCGTTGTACTGCGCGCACTCCTCGACAATGGCGAAGTCGTAGTTCTGGGCGTGTTCCTTCAGGTTCACTTCGGTCGTTTCCCAAATGAGGTTCTTCATGGCAACTTTCATTCCCTGCGCCTTGACCTGCGAAGACGAACGATCGGGGAAAATAAGAAATAACACCTAGCTTGTGAATCCATTGGAATTTTTGCGGCTTATTCTGTTCCTAAACCGCCGTCGAACAACCACCCCGCTTGCAGAACCGAGTTGACAGGGGGGAATTTTTCGTCGAAATGGCGAGAAAAAGGATGTTGAATAGCACCCACCCTTCGGACTGAAGAAGGGGGAGTTCCTACCAGAACCAAACAATGGTGGGCACATCGGGTGCTCACATATTGGGCGAATTCCTCGTTGTATTCGAGGTTCTTCGCCTGCGTAACAGATTCGATTCCGGTGTAGCCGGAGTCTTCGAAGGCCACCTGGTATGTCGCACGAAAGAAAAAACAAACATACGTAGAGCACGGCCCAGTGTTATGGGATTGGGACCCCTGGACTAAGATACCATCTGGCAGGTACATCTTTCAGGAATATGCTGCCCAGATTCCCGGTATTTCCACGTTGGACAGGTAGCGGTATGATACAATGGATACTAGCAGCAGCAAGCGATGTACAAGCGTTCCCCCTTGCTCAGTGTTGCCTGGGAATGAGCGATAACCAGCGACCGAGAGAGAACGGAAGGATAAGGAAGGAATCGGACTCAAGAAGGGAAGCGGCTCCAACCTGCACACATGCAGCTCCACACTGGATCTCGTCACATAAATAGGACATAAACGTGGTGTTGGTTGCGGAAACAGAGCGATTGCTGTTGTTGTTGCTGTTGTTGCTGTTGTTGCTGTTGCTTCGGACATCGGGTTAAGATCAGAGTAGACATAAGGATACCTTATGACATGCCGCGAACGCCAAGGTCTTACGATTTCACGAAGTACACATGAAACGCCGTCGATTTCCATGGCTCGAGTATCTTAGCAGCAGGACAGAGAGCAAGGCGTGAGCGCCGGCAGACGAAGGGGGACTACGGGACGATCTCCGGAACGATGTGCGGAACCGTCTCACCGAGAGAACACATGGGAACGGCACCTACATGCGGGAGAGGAATACCGTGCGCGGCATTGTTGCCACCCTCATTTCGGATGAACAGCCGGTCGAAGTACGTACGAGAGAGATACACTAGACCACCAGTCCCTAGAAGCGTTGTGGGCCTCACGGCCAGGCGAAACACAGGCGCTTTTTGTTTGTGAACGCGTGCACACTCAGTGTTGCCACCCTCCTTCCTGCAACCCACCACAACATCCAGCCCTTGTATATCGTGTCTCTCTTCAATGACTACTGCATGTCTTGCCAAGAGCCAAGCTCACCGACATGTTGTCCGGCTCGATCCCGTCACACCCCAGGGATGCCGCCCTATCCACACGAGCTTTCATGATGTCCATGACGGTCTTGTCCTGCACACCCACAGAGAAAAGATCGAGCATCGACAGCCAAGCCACAGAAAACAGCGTGGGTTATTGTCGTCGGCAAGCCAGAGTGGCGGGGTAACAGATGAGCACGTGAAGGGCGGGCACAGTCAAAACGTCTACACTATTCTGTCCCGACTTCCTAGATCGCAGCAAGGGCGTACAAGTAAGAGTTGACCTGGAGAGAGAGGGCGCACAATATCGTACTGAAGTTACAAATTTCAGCCTCCTCGCTGCGGAACGTGATTATCTCGGGCTGGGGATGTCCCCCTGGGAGCCAGCGCGTGACTCGTTCCCGGTCTTCGCCATGATTATCTCAGTAGCGTCGCATCTTTCCTGAGGGAAACGATAGTCGATGAACACACCGATGATCCGGATCCCAGTAGGAAACACCCAACTCTGCGAAAACCTGACTACCGTAGTTTTGATCTGTAGTTGGCACCGCGCGCTGTCCACGTCGAATATTGTTGGCGGCGCTACGAAATCGCTCTGTGCTACCACCCATCCGCTGAGGGATAGATAATGCACCAAACGCAAAGAAGGCTTGGGGAGTGAATGGTGGCGGTGACAACGGAATACTATTATTGCTTCTTTGTACACACTCGCAGAGTGGAAAACGATTGTCTGCGAAAAACCGCAACGACGAGTCCAGGTTTGTTTGTCAGTCGTTTAAACACATCCTTTCCTTTGGCCTCAGACAAGACGATGACGAAACACCCACAGAGGAAAAAAAAAAAACAAAACGAAGCTACGCTAGACGAGGAGGAACCCAGCCAAGCCGGAATGCCCTGATAATTCGCACCGTTTGGCCCTTCCCGGTGTACCCAATGTCGATCCACTGCTCGTCCGGCCAGTTGGCCAGGTTATTCTTGAGAGCTTCCTGGGGGAACTCGTGTTTGTCGGCGCGCCAGGGCTCCCACGTCCCGATCGAGATGTAGCAGACGGCGTACTTCCCGTCGCTGTGGAGGGCTTCGATCGTGTCTTCGATGCCATCCGAATCTAGTGTTATTGGCGGCGGTGGCGGTAGCAGCAGAATGAAGCGAAGTCGGTTCATCAGCAGCAGCGAGGGGACACGCGTGATGCTGCCCGCAAATAGGTAGCGGCGGCCATATCCGAGCATGTTGCGAGGGCCAAACCTGTTGAATAGTCGGTTCCCCACGAAATACGAGTATGCAGCAACAGCAGCGCTTTGCAGGCACACCGAACGCGGCAACACGAGGATGCTGTTTAGAATGAACGGCCCGAAAAGGTTAGACGGCACAGGACATGCTCGCGAATTTGCTGCGCATTCCCGTCCGAACTCCCGTACCTTCTCCTTCGCCATTGTACGTCAGTAAGCCAGTTTTAGGTTATGTTCTGTGTGCAAGGATCATCTCGCTGATAGACCAGCCTTCCGGGTCACCCACATGGCAAACGTTTACCCTCTTCTTGTAGCCGTTTCGGTTTTAACTGTCCTTTCCAGCTGGGCGGGCAGATGATCGCATCCGATAGGTATGTTGGAATAGGGCGGAAGAACGCGAAAGGCGGTACACGGTAGGCCCAGCATTACCATGATCATCGTAAAGCCAATAGTCACAACGGCGACGACGAGGGGCTGAAAAATCGTCGAAGATGACGACAAAGAACACCGAAGGACCCTCAACGACTCACCCATATCGATCATATAGACGTCCGCTTCGGGAGTGTCATCGGTAACCTCGCCGGGCTTCGGGAGGTTCTCTCCGACGTTCAGGTGGTAGTTCTGACATGCAGTGGAAGGCGGCATTACCGAAACAGGGTACGGGATAAAACAATAGAAGCAAAAGGGTTGAAAAAGGTGGTCTAATATGTGAAAAAATGGTATTTGGATCAGATGGCGTGCTCCTCCAATTGTTGAATCCTTCTAGACGTTGAACGACGACACAGGTAGATAGGTATGCATATGAACCTCTTGTAACGGTGGAACGAAGCGCAATGATGAAAAAGGCAAGAAAAAAGATCGATTTGCGCCGAGCGAATCGCACGTCTTCTGTTTGAATCCGGGCGGAAACAAACAGCCTCGAAATACAAGTAGCCTCGCCCCCGTGCAATCCCACCCGGCGTATAGATCGGATTCTCCGACGGCTGCCCCCCTGACTGCAGAAATCAACGCCGAGGAGATAGCAATGACAACCTATCCCGGGGACTCTCATCTGCGGGAAGAGGAGATCCCGACAAAGCAAAAAAATGTATCGGACGGACTCTTTTCTTACCCACGTCTGGCCAACCGTCGGAGTCCACCCCTGACACCCAGCAAACTCCTGCTGCGCCGCTGCAAGGTCTGCCGTGCGTTGGTCAAGTTCATCCTCAGCGGCAACGACGGCCTGGCGGGCCGTTTCGACGTTCGAGCTGGCAGTTTCGACGTCCATGCGGGCCTCCTCCACAGCTGCTTCCAAGGCAGGGCACTGATCGCCGTACGCGAACCGGAACTCGGACATAGCCACAGCGAGGCCGAACAAGGAAATCGTCGCCAGCTTCATGATTCGGAAGGTCCGGTACCTCTGTACAGTAAGCGAGTACTTGTCACTCCTTTCTGTCGGGGGGGTGGATTGGGCGCAGGGGGCCGACGACGACGGAATGCGATTTTTTGGCGCGGTGATTTTCGTCGGTAGGCGGTATATATTTGCGTTTTTCGGTGTGGTGGTACCGAATTTGGCGGACGCGGTAAGTAATGAAAAAAAACGGAGGCACACCGCCGGAGGAACACCGGTACCGCCTACCAGGAAGCGCTTTTCACGACGGTAGCATTGCCGAGCATACCCTTGGTTTTGTCTGTGTTTGTTCGGGCTCTCCAACTTCACGTCGACAACGACTCGGGGGGTAATTTACGACGTCTTGACAACAGCACGAGGCTGGGTTTTGGAGTTTCGATGGTCACGCTGCAGCCACAAGAAGACTATCATACCAGACGAACGACCCTCTTGTTTGGACGACGAGTTTTTGTGAGAACAATGGCATAGACTATAGTCTATACCCGTTCGACAGATAACATCCCCCCAGTGTCAAGTCGACTACGGCATGCGCGGATATGAGTAGGCCATGTGCTCAAGTCTTTGCAGCGGTGAGTGGGGCAAGGGAGTGTGCTGGATACTGTTTATGGGTTTTACTCCTTTCTTTCAAAAGTTTTTATCATTTCTCTCTCTCTTTCTGATTGCCGTGATTGCTATCGCGCCAACCGGGATTTTGTCCTCACAGAAGAAACACCGACGGTTGTTGAACGCAAAAGGTAGAATGACCGACCGTACGAGACGGTCGAAAGGTTTGTGTTCGCGTATGTCTGTGTATTGTACTGTGTTGGCCGACAACATGAAAGCAAGTACTTCTTGGAGAGTGGGGCTCTGCGTTTGGTATTATTGATGGATACGAGAGGAACACATTATTATATGTCAAGTCTCGCCTTCGCTGTCTTGTGACGCACATGACTTAGTAACGCCTTGCCCTTGTACGTGTTGTGTTTGTCGAGGAACCCGTCCGTGTAGCTACATGAGTTTAACAGCTTTTTGAGTAGCGCGCGTGGGACGTCCCAACGCCGGGGCCTTTTTACGCGCGGTTGGGTTCCGCCTGCATGCAAACTGAACTACATGTACGTGGTGATGAATTTCACAACCTTTTTTGTTAGAAAGGCTTACCCATTAGACTACTCAGTCGTTCATTTTGCAAACTTACAGGTACTTGCTGCTGTCATTCGACGTGTGATATGTAGCTGTCAGAGGTGTCCACATTGTACTGACAGCGGTCGATATAGGGTAGCAGGGTCTCACGCACACTGCTGTGCTACGGCACTATCTGTCTGCGGGTAGATCGGTTGATCGTGAGTGTACACAACGAGGAACGGGTGTGCCTACCGACCTTCGAAACAGCGCGCGCATATGTTTTTCTCTCACCGTGGGAGCGCCGAAGGGAAGCTAAGGTGACACGTCGAGTGTGTGGCGGGTGGCGAGGGGATGGAAAGTGTAGTTGTGGTCTGGAGGGGGTGGGTGGGGATGGGTGCGGGGATGGAAATGACATCGGAGAATGTTTTCGCGTCAAAGATCCAGATAATTCTCCCGTCGGCCTCCGGCAGCTTGGCACATGTAGTACTGTACTGAAATTTAGTTTTCGTGCGCGCTGTATGTATCGCGGTGTATCGTACTACATGTTGTACTGTGCATTGTTGTATCATTGTAGTATACTTTCTCCGCATTGCAACGAAAAAACAACATACTCCTCTACGCCTCCCCAGGATAACATACAGGCAGACAGGCACAGATACACAAAGGATGGCCCGTTGTTGTGTTCTTTGGAAGAAAATTTGCAAGGACAAAAAAAAAACGCCGTGTAGCAGTGTCAAAGATCCAGATAATTCTGCTGTCGGCCATGCTTCCAGCTTCATGAGGGCAATGAAATTGCCGTTGCTAGGCTACGTAGTACATGGGACCCAATAGTCTTTCCGCGTTGCAATAGATATGAGAACAAAAGAGTCAAAGATCCAGAAAATTATGCCGTCGGCCATTCTTCCAGCTTTATGAGGGCAATGAAATTGCCGTTACTAGGCTACGTAGTACATGGGACCCAATACTTTAGTATTTGTATTTCCGCTCCAGCTTTATGAGGGCAATGAAATTGCCGTTACCAGGCTACGTAGTACATGGGACCCAATAGTATTTCCGCGTTGCAGTAGTCTACCCCAGGACGAGCTTGTATGCATGCCCATTGCAGCAGCAGCAGCAGCAGCAGTCCTGCTGGTGGTGGTGCTGCTGTCGAGTTGCCATACATACAGTAGCTCCATTTCGACTGGGCCTGACATTCCGGACGATCAATCCAACATTGATTGATGGTCTGGTGTGGTTCTGTTGCATTGGGACGTCGTTGTGTGTTTTCGTATCAACCACCGGCCATTACTCTATAGTCTAGCATATGGCAAGAAGAGTTGAGGCAAATGGCTTTCAGTCAGGCAGTGAGTGACTTGGTACCAATGAAGGGTTGGGCATACACTACGGGCCAGCATAATATATATAGACCGCAAGACCTTTTGATAGGCAGCCTCAGGTTTGTTACGAATGAGCACTAAGAAAATTAGGAAAACAGACCAGGGCTAAATAGGAACATAGTCCAAACTACAATAGGCACACAACTTCAACTGAACAACTTCCAGTACGAACTACAGTATTTGCGGCCGAAAGGATGCTCCTCTGAGGGATGCGCCAGCCAGCAGTCACCCAATAACTTTCAACAACAAGTTGTCGGAGTGAAAACTCCTGAGTATTTATTTACAAGACGAATATCTGGATCGTTCGGTATAACTCGTGTACGAACCGTACACATTCATATGCATACAAAAAGGTGTTTCGGGTACCACACACACCCGTAGGATAACAATATTTGGAGTTCGAAGGCTATCACACTGAACGGTGGGTGGGTGGTGTTGTGTAGGGGCGTCCTACAGTATGTCACCCGCGTGACAAAGTGCACCTTGTACTCGCAGAAAACCCACCTACATACATACCGTATATGACTCGCAGAAAACACACCCCGGTGATACCATTTTGGAGTTTGAAAATATTATCACCGGGTGTGGTATCCTGTGGGGTGTGTGTTATCTTGCGTACCCCGGGTGATAAAGTGCAGCTCGCAGGGGCCCCTAAGGGTGTGTGATAAAACAGGGGGTGTGATAGCGCGTCCGAACACCCACAGCGTGTGTTTGGGGGTGGGTGTGATAAATGAGGGTGTGTGAGAAAAAGGGGGTGTGATAGCACGTCCGAACAGCCACAGCGTGTGTGTGCTTTGGGGTGTGATAAATGAGGGGGTGCGATAAAAGGGGGTGTGATAGCCATGCCTGCACATACACGTGCAGTGTAGGGACCTAGCTAAAGGGGCGTGGAAAAACAAAGGGGCTCAACCGAGATGACGAAACTCCTGAGCACATGACCTCGGCGATAACTCAACCCTCTCATCGCCAAAAAAAGTTTGAAACAAAATACGGGCTTGAATCGAGCAAGAAAAAATTAAAAATCGAAGGTACCTCGACCGATACGATGATTGGCGGTGGCCACAGACTGCGTGCGCCGTCCTTCCTGCCCCCCTCACAAAAACGTTTACTTGGTACTTGCGGCTGCATTCTGCTCTGCCTGCACGTTTATGTTGTTGGGGGTCTCCATGCGGGGTGTTTCCCCTCACACAGCTGACGTGGTTGTGTGTGTGATTGCCCAGGGCAGATGCTGTCACCCCGATGATAAAGAAGGAGGGGCCCCGTGACTATATGCGGCGTAACTAAAAATATCGCCGGCGTGTGTTATCTTATGTACCCCCGGTGATAAATCGATGGTTTGTCAGAAGCGCCCAAAACTATCACCGGGGTATCGTATTCTGTGGGGGGGGTGCTTTCTTATGTAGGTGTGTGATCTTGTGTCATATACGGTACATACATACATACATACAGAGGATATGTGTGTGTGTGATAACAACAAGTTAAGGGTTGTGTGATCGGCACGGGTGTGCGATCGTAATTAATTAACGTCCCTCGCGCGATTAAGAGCGCTCACAGGAGGACCCGACCTCCAGGCGGTAGGACTAGTTGTCCTTGTGGCGCAGTGCTCTCACAGAGTCCCGCTTACAACAGGGTGTGCGAAAGCAGGGGGCGTGTGAAAGTAATGATAACTAACGTTGCCCACATGTGATCACGTGCGTCGCTCTAAACAGACGGGACCCTAAACAAGTGCTTTAAGAATGACAGCCGGGGCGTGCGTGCGACAAGCAATGGGGGGGGGGGGGGGGGAACCCCCTCCAATTGAATTTAAAAACTTGGGTGCTAAAAGGAGGAAAACCATGTGGCGGGTTGGGGGGGGGGCCA